CTGACACGAAATGTGCTTCAGCCGTCTGTTTATTACAATAACACAAAGTTTCATCCCGTTACTGAGGTCAAAGTTCATTCTACTACAATCATTTACAGTAACAGGTCTTATTAATATGTCACAGTTGTTAGAAGTTGTGTGTTTTATTTGCTTAAATAGAAAAACGTGAATCATTTAGCTTTTGAATTTTAGTGAAAAAGGTGAAAATTTTAATGTTTGATTTTTCTTCAAAACTGGCTTTTGCCTGAATAGAGCTAAAGCTAGTAGAGCTAAAGCTAATAGAGCTAAACTCCAACTAACTCAATACCTACCTCCAGTCTGACTAAACTAGAGAGGCACATATATATCTTCTGGCAACTGGAACTGGCCAGGTTGAAACTGTAAAGTTAACTTTCTACAGTCAGGTCCATAAATATTGGGACATCGACACAATGCTAACATTTTTGGCTCTGCACCACCACAATGGATTTCAAATGAAACGAACGAAATGTGCTTTAACTGCAGACTGTCAGCTTTCAATTGAGGGTATTTACATCTAAATTAGGTGAACGGTGTAGGAATTACAACAGTTTGCATATGTGCCTCCCACTTGTTAAGGGACCAAAAGTAATGGGACGGAATAAGAACCATAAATCAAACGTATACATTTCAATACTTGGTTGTACATCCTTTGCAGTCAATTACAGCCTGAAGTCTGGAACACAGACATCACCAGACGTTGGGGTTCATCCCTGGTGATGCTCTGCCAAGCCTCTACTGCAACAGTCTTCAGTTCCTGCTTGTTCCTGGGGCCTTTTCCCTTCAGTTTTGTCTTCAGCAAGTGAAATGCATGTTCAGTCAGATTCAGGTCAGGTGATTGACTTGGCCTTTGCAAAGCAGTCCACTTCTTTCCCTTCAAAAACTCTTTGGTTGCTTTTGCAGTATGCTTTGGGTCATTGTCCATCTGCACTGTGAAGCGCCGTCCAATGAGTTCTGAGGCATTTGGCTGAATATGAGCAGATAAAATTGCCCGAAACACTTCAGAATTCATCGTGCTGCTTTTGTCAGCAGTCACATCATCATTAAATACAAGAGAACCAGTTCCACTGGCAGCCATACATGCCCACACCATGACACTTCCAGCACCATGCTTCACAGACGAGGTGGTATCCTTAGGATCATGAGCAGTTCCTTTCCGTCTCCATACTCTTCTCTTCCCATCACTCTGTTACAAGTTGATCTTGGTCTCATCTGTCCATAGGATGTTGTTCCAGAACTGTGAAGGCTTTTTTAGATGTTGTTTAGCAAACTCTAATCTGGCCTTCCAATTTTTGGGGCTCACCAATGGTTTACATCTTGTGGTGAACCCTCTCTATTCACACTGGTGGAGTCTTCTCTTGATTGTTGGCTTTGACACAGATACACCTACCTCCTGGAGAGTGTTCTTGATCTGGCCAACTGTTGTGAAGGGTGTTTTCTTCACCAGGGAAAGGATTCTTCGGTCATCCACCACAGTTGTTTTCCGTGGTCTTCCGGGTCTTTTGGTGTTGCTGAGCTCAGCGGTGCGTTCCTTCTTTTTGGGAATGTTCCAAACTGTTGTTTTGGCCACGCCTAATGTTTTTGCTATCTCTCTGATAGGTTTCTTTTGTTTTTTTCAGCCTAATGATGGCTTGCTTCACTGATAGTGACAGCTCTTTGGATCTCATCTTGACAGTTGACAGCAACAGATTCCAAATGCAAATGGCACACTTGAAATGAACTCTGGACCTTTTATGTGCTCATTGTAATTGGGATAATGAGGGAATAACACACACCTGGCCATGGAACAGCTGAGAAGCCAATTGTCTCATTACTTTTGGTCCCTTAACAAGTGGGAGGCACATATGCAAACTGTTGTAATTCCTACACCGTTCACCTGATTTGGATGTAAATACCCTCAAACAAAAGCTGATAGTCTGCAGTTAAAGCACATCTTGTTCGTTTCATTTGATATCCACTGTGGTGGTGTACAGAGCCAAAATGTTAGCATTGTGTCGACGTCCCAATATTTATGGACCTGACTGTATTTTTCCCCTTCATTTTTCATATTAGAGGTCTCACCATCACTAAGCATAAATCCGTATTAACAGTAATGGATCTTTCATGTGGAATATGTTATTTATCTTATATCTTAAAGAGATCTTACCAAATTGTTTGAAGTTTTAATCTTGTTTGATCAGCTGAAATTTTGTGAAAAAGCTGCAGCCCAAGATGTTTTGTCTCCCTCTCGTGGCAGTGAGAGTAATTAACGCCTGCTCCTAATGCACTTCCTGATGCACTTTAAACCTATTTCATACTGCTACTGCGTTCTTTGGTTATTTTTTAATATGCAATAAGTGTTTAGATGTATAGATTTATTATTTTTGTGTGTTTTCCAGCTCCCACTACTTTAGGACCGTGGACGCAAAATCAATCCAACCAAAACAGGATTAAGCTGGAAGAGAATCTGTAACATAACCAATCAGCTGGACTCAAACACGGATAGCAAAAGGAACACGTTAGTGTGTGTGTGTGTGTGTGTGTGTGTGTGTGTGTGTGTGTGTGTGTGTGTGTGTGTGTGTGTGTGTGTGTGTGTGTGTGTGTGTGTGTGTGTGTGTGTGTGTGTGTGTGTGTGTGTGTGTGTGCACGTCTGAATTATGTTTTCTTTTCTGTTTTTTTTTTAAGAACACTTAACTGGGACTTTTGCGCTCATCCTCAAGAAATGTTCAACCAAAGTTGGGAATCTTCAGAGAAGTTTTGATCTATTTTGATAACTAAAAAAAAGAAAAATTCTAAAAGTTGTAAATAAATTTTAAAACTAGAAGTGGGAGTGGAGGAAACGACACAGAGCATTATTTTTGTGCACGTGTTAAAACAGAATCTTATTTTTAACAGAACATTCTAGGTGTGTCGGAGTGATCCGGGGAACGGTTGAAACATAACGTGTCTTTCTCATTTTCTTTACTTTTTGTAAAAAATGCTAACTTTTTGTTTCCTGGTGTCTGTTGTTTGACGTTCTACTCACAGCAGTCAGGATTTGTACAGATTTCAAACCTTTTGAACTTTTTTTGCTGGTCTGACGTGTGGAGTCGTTCTACCTGTGGGAGGTAAACCGTTTAAAGCTACTTCTTCTTGTAAACTGCAGCCGACCATAAAAAATAACAGAGACTCTTTATAGTTTAGTCAAAGTTTTTATTTTTTTGTTCAATTGAGATTTTTTTTCATAATAAAACAAAAGACAATCAATTATTTATATTTATATTTGAATTATAGTTCTATTTTTTGGAGTTTTTAATCATTTAAATTAAAAAGAGAAGTTATTTAATAATAGTCTGTGAAGATGATCTGAAATGGTGAAGATCTTTACCCCACATTACAATGAGCTCAAAAACAGCTAAATGACTTGATATTAAAAAGTCACGTTCTGTGAATTACACACACACACACACACACACATACACGCACGCGCACACACACACACATCCTCCCCGTCTATGAGAAGTGGTTTTAAGCGTTTGTTTGTTTTTTGTCATCAGGTATCATTTATAATCCATCCTTATTTCTGAGGGATGTTGTCAACGCGCTTTAGAAAGGAGCAGTTAGATTTTACTGAGTGTAATGAGCGATGCGGTGACTAAATTAAAAGTGTAGTTTAGCGAATGCGATGAGGGAATTAGCCGGAAGACTAAGGAAATCCCGGAGAATAGTTAGCGTGATAGGAAAAGGGAGCGATGAGTCTTGTTTCAATGCTGCTGTCCTCTGAGTTTGAATCAGCCAGTGAGGTTGTTTTTGTTGTTTAGTTTATAGAAATGTTTCTTTTCACTTGAAAAATCTCTTGAGCTAATTTCTCTTTATTTTTGATGAATTATTCTTAGATTAGATCTTAGTTTAGAGTTTTACAGAGAATAGATGTTAGTTTGGATCTCTCTGATAGGATTGATGCTGGTTTTTTATTTTTATTTTTTTGTGCACTTGACATTTTTTCCCTTGTTTGATTTTCACGTGAATTTCCGTTCCAACCCTTGAGTCGTCTGTCTGACTGTCTGTCTGTCCTGATTTCACGTCTGACCCAGAGAAGAGAACTGAACTGAATTCACGTTGATCTAAAAGATTCACGCCACTGTGAATGAAACAATCTGATCACCCAGAACTGTTGATTTGTAATTTACAGACAACAAGAAACTGTAGATATGTTGATAATAAAAATAGTTGTTTTCCTTTTTTTTTAAAAAAAAGAACTGCTCACTAGACCGTGGAAGTGCCATTAAAGAGGATTCTTACTGCCTTAGTGAAAGGGCCGGTCTGAATGAATTTGTGAGGGAACAAAATTCTTGCAAAAAACGATTTTTAACTAAGCCTTAATGTTTCTTCTCTAAATAAACTGCCTGATTTCTCACATTTGTATATAATATGGAAATGACAGCAGGCGTGTTTGGGTCTCTTCGAGATGTTTGTGGAGTTCCTCTTCCTGCTCTGCAGCCGTTATGTTCCCCTGAAGGATTGATGATGCTGTTTTTATTTAGCTTGCGTCTTTGCTTTGTGTTTATGGGTTTTTAATTCTGCAACCAAAGATGCCACCCAACTCTTGTAGCTTTTAGATCAACTTCTGTTGGATAAAATTCTTTTTTGAGGTTCTGGCTAGTGTAATTACACACTCGGCTTTCTTCTTTATGGCTACGGGTAAATGTTTGGGAAATTTTACCCCAACTGACCCACTAATAACCCTCAGTTCCTTTAATGCATTAGATAAAAATAGGTTTCATCAATGAACATAAGTGAGAGAACTTGAATGGGCTGAACATACATCCAGGAGGAACACCAGCTTTCGTTGTAATGGTTGTCAAACATGACGGTTAACAGACACAAGAGCTACTTTTGTAAATTCTCTTTCTTTTCCTTCCATTTTAACCATTCTGTTTGATTCTTGATGTGTATTTTTTGTTATGATTTATGATCTGTCCTGATTACAGATGACTATCAAGCTTTCAGATTCAGTGCACCATGAAGGAAATGTCCAGATAGATGTGGTTCAATGTGCTAACCACCTTTTTTATTTTTTAACAAACACAGGATTTACAATATTTTTGAAACTATGAAATGACCCCAAGTTACAAAACAGTGTTTATTTATTTTGTAAAGCAGAAGTGATGTTACAAGAAAATATGATGTTTGTAAATTACTGGCCTTCTAATTGCAGTAAAAATAAAAGTGTACTCAGACTGATAGTGTATTTTGTATATAGTACAGCAGATTTTAAAATTTAAAATAACTTCTTGCACTTACTGTTATTCCAAGCTTATTTTTTATAAGCTCTTTTTGTCCATCCTGACATCAATTTGATGGCTTATTTCATAGTTTCAAATTGTTTTGCTGCTAAAATACGGTTCTGAGCAGGTGGCTCTATGTGGTCCGATCTGAATTTTCACAATGTTTGTTTAATTCGGTAAAAAAGTTGTATATTTAATGTAACACACCATTATTTATCTAGTTTAGAGTCCAGTGTGTAGGATGTGCAGATTAGTGCAAAAGGGTCAGAAAGAAAGCACAAAAGCTGTTTTTGTCCCTTTTGAGCTTCTGTAGTAACAACATTTTAAAAAGTTCACCTTTTACTCTAATGAAAAGTTTTTTCATGCTTGTTAACTCAAATTCCTGCCAACATGATACAAACTGAACCTTAAACTTTAGTTTAATTCACATTTTCCTGAAATCTCCACGCTTTAAAACAAAAACAAACATTTTTGTGTTTTTTAAGCATTCTGAAAATTTGCCGGACTCCATCAGACGCCCCTGCTTGTGAACACTCTTATTTATACAAGAACTCAATTTGTACAGTTTTGTTAGAGGATAAAGGTTTTGATATTCGGGTTTTTTTTTGGTTTGTTTTTTGTTTGTTTTTTTGCCACTTGGCTACTTTTGTCTTCCTGTGCCAGAGTTGCTAAATTGTCTGTAACTTGTTTTTTTTTTTTTATTGAATGAAATGAGATTTGACTTCTTTGTTGGTTTTCTCTTTGAATTTGAATATGTCTGATTTTCTTTTTTAATAAAAACCTTGTTTTAATGTTTGACTGAGCTTTTTATTGCAATCGGACCAGTTTATCACTTATCTGTTTTCTAAATCCATTCGAATCTTTTTTCATTTGTGAGGAATGAAGATTTATTCATCAAGAATTTTATTTTTTCATGATACCTGTGCATGTTATATTTAAAAGCACGTATAACTTTGAATGTTTTAGCTAGGGTTTAGTTACAATTTTATTTCTCTTTGCATATTTTTTATTTGAAAGTGTAATGGTGTGAAGTATTAATTTAAGATTTAAATTAATAGAAAAAGTTTATTTATTAAACAGAAGATTCAGTAAGATTCTTTTCATTCGATTAAATGGAAATGCAACCCTTTTCTGTGTTTCGTTTCAATAATGAGGCAAGTTTAAAAATGAAGAAATTTCTTTACTAACAATTTTAAACTGAACGATTTGAAGCGACAATCATAAAATGACAATTCATAAATGGCAATTTTGATGACAATCCTTAACAGCTTTGATATTACTCGTTTAAAAGAAAGCCTGTGTTGGATGGAGCTAAAATTGAGAATGATGGGTTTTGAATGCGTGAATGCTGTTCTCAGAAGGTTTCTTTCAGAGGGAATGGAAGGTGTTCTGGATGAAATGATGTTTTGCAGATAACTGAGTTATTTTTAGAGAAAACAGCATCAAACACATTCTATCGTGTTCTACCTCACCCAAATAGGCTGACCCTCTTGTGGATCTGGAGATCGGAGGATGGGTTCATCCAAGATGACACTCGGGGCTGGCAGAGAAGACGCCGAGTGTCCGATACTCTGATCCGGAGTAGTAGCTGGGTACACGGCTGTACGAAGCGTTTGGCAGATGCAAGTTTCGTATTTAAATTCAATTCAGAAATCAAATGACTCTGGGAGAGTCTTGCGTTAGCTTGTTAGGTTCGTTTGTTCTTTAGCCATTCTTGTCGGCATGACAGAATAGCTTGCAGAGGGTCAAGGAGACGGCCGCTCTCCTTTCCTCGTGGTGTCGGTTGAAGAACTGGGCGTGAAATCTGTAATGGTTAGTTTTTACCAAACTCTCTCAGAACCCCTCCCTCTCTCTACGGAAGAAAGCTTGGTCATGCGTCAAAAAACATGTGCTGCAGTTATTGTTATCTGAACTCTGTGTTAGCTGACAGTTAAGGTCTTCTTTGCTGAACACATCTTTATAAACATTATAATTAATCATTATTATAATACCCAAAGCATAATAATCCATTTCATATAATTAAAATACCTTTATATCTGAACCAAGTGATCATGTATTAATGATTATTTAAACAGTAATAAAATCATAAGTTTATTAATTATTATTTAATTATTATCATCGTGGCTTGAAGTGTCTTGGCTAGACGTCGTGGCTCCTTGGGCTTTACTCTGTGGATTCAAAGTACTGTTTGACCCAGCTTGACCCAGCTGGGCAAATGTGACCTTTGGCACAAATCAGAGAACCTTCATCTCGTTACAAAAGTTTCTATTTTCGGTTTAAATAGCAGGTAAATCCATGAAAATGATTGTGCAGAGGATCTTTTCACCCTGACTTTATAAATCTGCTCTGAGGGAACATGCAATCTCAACCTGCAGTTCGTTTATGACGTCCGTAAAAGTCAGTTTACTTCATAAATTTCTTTATTTCTAATCAGAATTAAATCACGCACAGTTTAATCTGTTAAAAATATATTTTTTATAACATAGAGGTCGAATGCACACCTAAAAGGCCACAGTCCGTTCTCTACAGAAGTTATAAAACATCTATTATCTTCAATACTTCGTGTTGTCCTACACACGTTTTCACTTTGCTGCTGATGTTCCTTCCCTTTGAGTTTGAGGTTTGGCTGATGCAATGGTCCCACGTGATAACAATACACAAAACACCAAACGTGTCACCTGTAATGAGACTCCAAAAGTGTCATAAACTAAATGTGTGTTTCTTTTGCAAAAAAAAAAAAACATGGGTTTAAAAATGAAATCAATCCAGCTGAAAGTGCAGAAATCCTGAAGCTGAGTTGTCGGCTGTAGGGTGATCAGAATGATGGAGCTGAAGAAGAAGACACTCTTAAAGCATCCAACAAATACAAAGAAAGGTTTTTCACTGGTGTGAGGGGTGAAGTGACACCAGTCTTCATGTGTTCTTGTCCTGGAGGGTCTTCACCCTGAGCAGAAGACACATTTCAATCCCGACCTCCTCCCATAAGCTGAAGCATGAAGCTGAACAGGTAGATGATGTCCAGGTAGAGGCTGAGCGTGGCAAAAATGTATTCCTCTGGACTTATGGTGTAGCGCTTGTTCCCTAGGAGCAGCTGGGTGTCGAAAGCAAGGAACTGTTGCAAGAAACGACACCAATAAGGTACCAGAAAAGAAGTGTGTGTGTGTGTGTGTGTGTGTGTGTGTGTGTGTGTGTGTGTGTGTGTGTGTGTGTGTGTGTGTGTGTGTGTGTGTGTGTGTGTGTGTGTGTGTGTGTGTGTGTGTGTGTGTGTGTGTGTGTGTGTGTGTGTGTGTGTGTGTGTGTGTGTGTGTGGACATTACTGAAGGTGTTTAGAGGTTACCATAGTAAAGAGGATGGCTCCAATCACAGCATAGATGGCATGTAACCAGGGAACCTGTGGAGTAAAGTCAACTTCATTGCAAGGCACCAAAGAAGCAGAGCAGCGTGAGATTATCTGCTACAAGTTTAACTCCAGCAGCACCCCAGGGTTAAAGCTGCAACCGTTGTTGAACTCATCAGCTCATGTAGTCTCCTTCTAGAAGGCCCGTGAGCCGGGATGGGTGGGAAAACTTACATATCCGAATGGGACGACGATGGAGAGGGTGAGGGCGCAGAGCAGCATGACCATGCTCAGAGAAAACAGGATGCCCTGGCAGGACGTGACATCAATCTGGAGATGGAGACAGAAAAGTCTGGAGTTATTCCAGGGAATTCCCACTAAGCAGAGGCTCTAGAGTTGTTCCCGTCACCTTGCTCTGGAAGCTGAAGATGGTGACGGAGAGGCACACCAGTGCCGTTATTCCCAGACACAGGAGCACAGACTTGGTGTTGTAGAAGCTGCAGAAACATTAGCATCAGGTTTATTTTTGGAGTTTTGTCCGTCTCACGCAAACTGAATCAAGCCTCTTTCACCTTGACATAAATCCCATCATTGAGGCCATGCTCAGAGTCTGAGAGGAGGAAAAACAAAGAGAAACAGTTAGATTAATGCGGAAAGTACTAAAGAAAATACTAGTATTAATGGTAAATAATGCAGAATACTCACAAAAAGAACTAACAGGATAACATTCCAGGGAAACTGCCTCCTGTTTGGGAGTAAAGAAATCACTCATTATGCTTTTTTAACAAGTTATAGAAACATTTTTCTTATACAGGTGCTGGCCAGTAAATTAGAATATCATCAAAAGGTTGAAAATATTTCAGTAATTCCATTCAAAACGTGAAACTTGTACATTATATTCATGCAATGCACACAGACCAATGTATTTCCAATGTTCATTACATTTAAATTTGATATTCATAAGTGACAACTAATGAAAACTCCAAATTTGGTATCTCAAAAAATTAGAATATTCTGAAAAGGCTGAATATAGAAGACACCTGCTGCCACTCTAATCAGCTGATTTACTCAAAACACCTGCAAAGGCCTTTAAAAGGTCCCTCAGTCTTGTTTTGAAGGCACCACAATCATGGGGAAGACTTCTGACTTAACAGCTGTCCAAAAGACAATCATTGACACCTTGCACAAGGAGGGCAAGACACAAAAGGTGATTGCTAAAGAAGCTGGCTGTTCGCAGAGCTCTGTGTCCAAGCACATTAACAGACAGGCGAAGGGACGGAAAAAATGTGGTAGAAAAAAGTGTACAAGCTCTAGGGATAACCGCACCCTGCAGAGAATTGTGACGACAAACCCATTCAAAAATGTGGGGGAGATCCACAAAGAGTGGACTGCAGCTGGAGTCAGCGCTTCAAGAACCACCACGAGGAGACTCATGAAAGACATGGGATTCAGGTGTCGCATTCCGTGTGTCAAGCCACTCTTGAACAAGAAACAGCGCAAGAAGCGTCTCGCCTGGGCCAAGGACAAAAAGGACTGGACTGATGCTGAGTGGTCCAAAGTTATGTTTTCTGATGAAAGCAAGTTCTGCATTTCCTTTGGAAATCAAGGACCCAGAGTCTGGAGGAAGAGCGGAGAAGCACAGAATCCACGTTGCATGAGGTCCAGTGTAAAGTTTCCACCGTCAGTGATGGTGTGGGGTGCCATGTCATCTGCCGGTGTTGGCCCACTCTGTTTCCTGAGGTCCAGGGTCAATGCAGCCGTCTACCAGGAGGTTTTAGAGCACTTCATGCTTCCTGCTGCTGACCAACTTTATGGGGATGCAGACTTCACCTTTCAACAGGACTTGGCACCTGCACACAGTGCCAAAACCACCAGCACCTGGTTCAAGGACCATGGTATCCCTGTCCTTGATTGGCCAGCAAACTCGCCTGACCTTAACCCCATAGAAAATCTATGGGGTATTGTGAAGCGGAGGATGCAATACGCTAGACCCAACAATGCAGAGGAGCTGAAGACGACTATCAGAGCAACCTGGGCTCTCATAACACCTGAGCAGTGCCACAGACTGATCGAGTCCATGCCACGCCGCATTACTGCAGTTATTGAGGCAAAAGGAGGCCCGACTAAGTATTGAGTGCTATACATGCACATTCTTTTCATGTTCATTCTTTTCAGTTGGCCAACATTAGAGAAACAAACATTTTTTCATTGGCCTTTAGAATATTCTAATTTTCTGAGATACCAGATTTGATGTTTTCATTGGTTGTCACCTATAAATATCAAAATTAAACGTAATAAACATCGGAAATACATTGGTCTGTGTGCATTGCATGAATATAATGTACAAGTTTCACGTTTTGAATGGAATTACTGAAATATTTTCAACCTTTTGATGATATTCTAATTTACTGGCCAGCACCTGTACCTGAAAAGAAATTTACCTGAGATCTCCACAGCAGGAGAGAGCAATGTAGGTGGCAAAAAACATGATGCTAACGGGATAAAAGACAGTTTAAGTCATAAAGAGAAAAGGATTACAGCAGCACGAGTTAGTGATGCTTAGCTTACTAGGATGCCATGTACAAGCTGGGATGAGTCTGGATGTAAAACCTCACCGGAGCACTGAAGTGAACAGGAATTCATCAGAAAATAAGAGAACAAAACCTTTACAACGCAGCCGAGATCGGCCAGAGTAGGCAGCGAGTTTACCAAAATGTGAAGAGACAAACGATGCCGACGGTCACGGAGAGCTGCAGCATGAGGATGGCGTAAACCTGCAGGTGGACATTCAACAATGTCAGAACCGGTGATTTTGACTTTTATTCAACACGTTCGTATTTACCTTCCTGATGAAAGTCCTCCTGATGTTCTTGTCATCCCAGGCAAACTGGACATCCATCTCTGGGTAGCCTGAAGAAGAAGGAACTTTCAGCCAGACAGTTTGAAGATCTGTTCAAGTGTGCAGAGGCCAGCCTTTGTTCATCTGAAAGGGAAGAATGAGGCGATACTTTCTCACCTGCCGTTGCCTCCTGATAGCTGGGGGGTTCGTTGTTGTTGCACACCTGCCGGGACACAATCAGAGACCCTTCAGTCACCTGGACAGGTGATCATGTTCTGCTGATGGTTAAATCAGCAGCAGCAGGCATTAGATAGATAGATAGATAGATAGATAGATAGATAGATAGATAGATAGATAGATAGATAGATAGATAGATAGATAGATAGATAGATAGATAGATAGATAGATAGATAGATAGATAGATAGATAGATAGATAGATAGATAGATTATAAAAATAAAAGAGCATACCTTTGATTTCTTCATGGTTTTTTCCTTCTCTGGTTGTGTTGCTGATGCTGAGGACCAGCTTCCTGGCTCAGAAACACACTGAGAGATGCTGCTTGTGGAGATGTGGTTGCTCTGAATCTGTGTGCGGATTACGCAGCTTTATTATAGGCCTCCATTTGGTTAATCTCCCTCTAATCCAAATACACCCCCCTCCCCCACCCCCTTGCCCAGCCTCCATGAGGCCGCTCTGGCACTCTCCAGGTAGGCCCACAACGAGATCGGACCTGACTGTACCACTGCACTCACCCAAACGGGGGGTGTTGTTCATGCCTCTATTCTCTGCCACTCTGAGCTTCTTAATTATTTGAAGACACATGATTATTCTCCTGGCCTCCTGATAAAGCGTGCTGATTTACAGAGAGTTACCTCACACCTGTACTTCCCTTCTGTGGAAATTAAAGGGGGAAAAAATCACAGAATTTATGTACTGTAATATGAGTTTTCATGCTGTGCTTCATAATTATTATGATAAAATTCTAAAATAAATCAATAACCACTTCTTTCTCTAAGCTTATTTCCAGACAGATTCAAGTATTATTAGCACGGCCATCGCTATTGTTAAACCTAATCCTTTTTTCGTCTTCTGCAAGCCGTTACAGTAAACATGACATCACTTTTTTATGTAAGGAACTGTTTTTGTAACGCACTGATGAGCATGAAGTTAAGCTCATTAAGGAGATTTACCAGCATGTATTCACTTTTAGTCTGCTTTTACTCGTCTCTGTTGTGTTTCGCTATGTTTACAACAAAAAATGGAAAAAGGTGTGTGTGTGTGTGTGTGTGTGTGTGTGTGTGTGTGCGTGCGTGCGTGCGTGCGTGCGTGTGTGTGTGTGTGTGTGTGTGTGTGTGTGTGTGTGTGTGTGTGTTCTTAAGGGATATTCTGGATCTGTTAAGATTTGTTGTAAAGTGCTGAAAAACTGATATCTTACCTGTTGAACAACCTCAGTTTGGAAAAATACATTTAGCTCAGATTTGAGTGATGTGCTAACAGCTAGGCTGAGTGAGGTCAATTCCACAAGGGACTTTTGTCCTACATTTTTAATCGGAGAAAGTCCACAGTGCTACATGTTTTTTATAAACATAAATATAAACATTTCTGAAACAGATGAGATTTTCTTTTTTTTTTTTACCATGAGCAAAAGCAGGTTAAAACTATTTAATTTGCAAACATTTTAAAGGCACACTAAGTCAACGTTTCCCACCCTGGTCCTCAGGGCACACTTTCCTACAAGTTTTCCATGTCTCTGCTTCAGCACACCTGATTTTTATTGGCTCTTCGGGAGGACATCGAGTGCTGCAGACACCTGTTAATCACTTATTTAAGTTGGTGTGTGTGGCAGCAGGGAAACGCTGGTGTTTAAAAGAGCAACGTGGAAAGCATGCAGGACAGTGTGCCCTGAGGAACAGGGTTGGGAAACACTGCACTCAAATTTTCCTATCTTGAAATCTTTATCTTGAGCCAGTAGGGGCTCAAATGGGCCTTTACATAGTGAACTCCAGACAGATCTCATCCACTCCTGGAGCCTTGCCACTGAGGACCACCTCAGTCACCTCAGCACTTGAGATTAGAGAGCCTAACCCAAAGTCCCCGGACTCTGCTACTATCAAAGCATCATCTCGATTTCCTACAAGGGTTTCAAAGATGCTATACATAAATAAATAAACACTATTTTGAAGCAGGGAAAAGCAGGGTTTTCCCCACCAGGGGGCAGAAGAAACATAAAAGCTCGAATATGAACGCTGCATCCCCAACGTCCACCAATGGCAGCAGAAGCCCGTAAAACAACAAATGTGAGCAGTCTGGAATTAGGAAAGAAAGTCTAGAACAGCAGATAACTATAAAAATGAATGAGACATCTTTAAAAGTTTATTTCTTACTGCTAATGACCGCACAAGAGGCTGTTTTGTGTCGAATTATGATAAGATTAATAGTCACATAGTCTATGGATTGTGAATAAATGTGTAGTTCTAAATTTAGGCTAAATTTAGGGACTCATGTTTTTAGTCAGATGTATATATATGATATAAAAAATACATTTATTTTCTAATAATTCTCGTCTCATAATAAATGAATAGGTGTGTTGTTGCATACGAAGCTTCAAAACAATGTTTCTTTGTTTTGACCAACAGTCTTCTTTAAATGTCTTATCTGTAACAACTCCTCTGGTCAAAGCAGAGCTGCGCACAGGAACACTCCCACTCTGTGACCTGAATCTGTCTCCTGTGACAGATGTGATACCAGTGCATGTGAGATAAAACATTGTGAATCCCTTCCTGCGGTTGCTGTCCTGGTCCAGGAGGTGGCAGGGGGGGACCTGAATGTGCTCCGTGGCAGAGCGCCACCTGGGACCAGAATATCACTGCTGAGAACAGCCTGTACTTTCTCTCAGGCTGTGATGAGAATGTAAACTGAAAATGAGCCGCGTTCCCTTCTTGGTGTTGAATAATGTGCATCCCCAGACGCAGCATTTAAACCAGCTGATGTGTGAGGGGTACAACTCTAGATCCGAGTTTAAATGGGGACCCATTACATCTGGACAAAACTGCAAAGTTGGTTCTAATTTCCCTGAGGAGGCTGCGAGTGTCCGCGTCCCATCAGATCCTCCCAGTGACTCACGAGGTGCTGCTTACAGAAACCTCCATTTCCCTGCTGCTGGGAACTCCGTGTTGTTTGTCTGCATGTTAATGTTATTTAAACAGCCTACAGAGGAACTGTCCTGACAGGATCTTTAAACAGTAGCTGTCTCACTTCCATGGGTTTTCTCATTTCTGCTGCACAAAATGTCACAGCGGCTCTCTCAGCCAAGATCACCTGGTTGTTTCTCTGCTCAAAAATCAGGTGATCTTTCTCATTTGGAGGCAGGCAGCGGGGACGGGGGGGGGGGGGGGTAGAAAACCCTAATAGCTCTCAGACCTGCAGCATGATTGGCTGATTGCTTCAGTTGCTAGGTAACCGATCTATGGAATACCTCAGCATCCTGGTACAGATGAAAAGGAAAGAAGACGAGCACAAGCAGGGATGCATGTAATAGTATTTAATAGTGGCACTCTATGTTGTGACCGTAAACATTTACAAAATGTACACGAGCTGATGATGTTCATTAATGATACATTTATTTATACTCTATATTTCCTCAAAACAAAATACTCAAGAGCACGGAAATGAAATGCTTTCTTTCTGTTTTTAGGCATTAGATGATACAAGAATCTGCAACCAGCTTTAATAGTTATGTACAAAATATACAAGAGAACATCTTAAAACTATATCTCATTCAGCAAGAACGCTTTTTTCCCTAAAAATATCAAACATACCTCAATCACAAATGGGTGATTTTCATAAAGATTTTCCACATGTAGTGAAAATAGCCTTTTTCTCTTTTTAACAGCTTTAGCTGCACGTTAGAAAATGCTATTGTTTTATTTCATATAGACTTCAGAGGCTTTGATGATAAATGGAAGAGTCTTTACTCTGTATGGAGAATGTACAGGGAGCGTTTTTCTGATCCGAGCGAGTTTGTGCTTTCTTCTTGTCGGCTTGACGGGGCGGGGGAGCAGAACGATGAGGAACAAGAAGTTCTCTGTGCTTTTTGGTCTTCAGAACAAAAATCTCTAGAGGAAGGGGGGGTTACACCGGCTCTACAAACCTAAAACTTCATAGTGGTACAGCTGGAAGCAACAGGAGGAGAGCTCGTTGGCTCCTGCTGGGCCTCTGTTCTTCGCTGGTACTTTTCCAGCTCCCATCCTCGCAGCATCCGACTTGGCACAGATTCCAAAAACAGCTGTCCATCATGCAGAGACAAAAGTCAAAGACAGCTCACCCCCCCCAAAAAAAATAAATACCCCGTGAACCCATGAGCCACCTATGCTCAGGGGTCTATGCGGAAGGCTAATAGTTTGTCCGAGTGCTGGTTGTTCAGGGTGCGCAGGTCCGGCAGGCGGAGCAGCAGCTTCGGGAAGAGCGTGCTGTCATCCGGCCGCCGACTGGTGATGAGAGAACGCAGAGCTTTGATTAGGTTCTCCTGCAGCTGCTCCACTGCTGACACCTCCACAATGCCAGAGCTGTCTGCGAAGCAGGGAAGGAAAGTTTAGGTTTCAGGAGTAAGTGTTACTGCACAAGTGCTTAGTAAGTGTCTTACCTGCAGACACCAGCACGACAGCCATGAAGAGGGCCATTTCGTCCTGCTCCAGGCCCAAAGATCCCAGCTTCTCACTGAAGTCAAACATGACATCCAGCAGAGAGCCCATACCGAGCGCCCTCAGTGAGGGCAGGGAGTAGGTCTGTCCGTTGAGGAAGGTTACCGTCCTCTCTTTGGGTTCAAACAACGAGCAGAACCTCACCATAAGCACCTATGTGCAGAAAAACAGGTCAAAATCAGACCATTCTCAAACAAAAATAGGAAACTCCTCACCCAGCAAGTTCTGCTGGACAAACCTGGAAAGTGCCGGATTTGAGCAGCATGACCTGGTCGTGCTGGCTCAGAGACTGGAAGCCCGGGATGCTCTTAGCAAACTCCACCACCTCCTTCACCGCTGGAGTGAAGCACTGGGAAAAAGACTCCCACACCTCCTGACTGGAGCGACTGGCCGGAGCCACCGGACACGAATTCAGAGGGCAAGCCTGCAGGAAACAAAGTCAATAAATAGGATGCTCTGCTGACACTGGGCAGATCCGTTCAGGGCAGAAGGGGTGGAGGTACTCACTAGGACTTTAGCACCTCCGTTTAGCTTCCAGGGGCAGGAATTCTGGTTGTGGAAATCTCTGTTTTGGACACTGTTCTGAGACGGTGCGAGCCCACTGATGGGGCACTGGTTCTGTTTAGGGGAGAACGTGCACTTGTTGGCGTTTGCGCTGGTGGAGCTTTCGTTGTTGCTGGGTGTGACGGGGAAGTTTGTGGGGGCGTGGCAGCTCGTCGTGAGGCTCGGCTGCTCCGTCTGAACCGCGTGCCGCGTCTGGGCCGACGTGTGGGACGCTTCCTGAGCTCCGGTGCTCAGGAAGCTCGGAGCACCAAGGCTGCTGTTGCAGCCGGCAGCCATCTTTAGTGGTTTCTCATCACTGTGGTACGACTGCAGCAAGGGAGCGGCTCCACCGTTCACCTGGTTCTGTGGACTGCAGGGGGCGTCGGAGGGAGGCGAGGCTTCTATCACCATGGAAGCCGATTCGTTGAGACTGTTCATGTAGCTTTGCATCTCATCCAGGAGTCGCTGCTTCTCCCGCTTTGGAATTCGCCCAAAACGCACGGCTGAGGAGAGAAGAGGAGAACATGTTAGGGAACTGGTGGTGTCCCCGCTGACATCTAACTGGAAGATCATAAACATTCCCAACAATTCCCACTGTAATCTGTGCATGCAACTAATCTCTGCATCCATCGACCCCCCCACCCCCCCACCCCACCCCCAACGCTGCACCCTCTCCACAGCCCTATTTATAGTGTTCCCCCCCACCCTCTCCATGTTTTCTCCCTTCAGATGTGCTCTCACTTCCTCCATGGAAGTGGGTCACTGGGTCACGAGCACTGGACCAGGAGTCATTAGAGAGGTGACAGCGTGCACGATTAGTGGAAAGGTCAAAGGTAAGAGAGGCAGGTGTGACAGGGACGAACGACGATGATGAAAAAGCAAATATGAGGCATAAATAAAAACTGTTAGCAAAACGTTTGAATACAAGAGGGTGATGAATCAGCTGCAGCTCGAGGATTTAGCGGCTTATTCTTCCTTTTCTCACTGTGGCTTATTTAGGTCAGCTAAAAATGTGTTCTCTGGGTTTAAAAAAAACATGATTTATTATCACCTAGTTTAGCAACACCCAAGAGGCTGGGATGCTGCAGGGGAAATAACGCAGCAGGGCAGAGACGGGCTGGAATATCGTTCTAATTTACAGACGAGCCGAGGAGGGCGTCGCCATTAACAGGACGGGATGAAAGTGTGTCGCGTGTGATTGTTTGGTAAGGCTGTAAATCATGGGGATCACACGAGGCAATCAGCAAACGTGTGTCCCAGTTTTCAGAAATAAACCGGAATTTTGCTGTTTTAACAAAACGGATTACATCTGGGACTCCCAGGGTCCTCCCGTCATAAATCACACAAGAACGAGCAGAGAAAAGGAGGAAGGATGGAGCAAAATGAGGAGCGTGATAAAATAGATGTGTGCACATCTCTCCATGCAGACAGACACGATGGGTGGAGTTTAAAGCATGAAGTTTGTCCCTCACCATCTCTGGACATGCCCACGGAGAGACACTTCTTGAAGCGGCAGTGCTGACACCGGTTACGGTTCATGCGCATGATGAGACAGTTTTCATTCTTCACACACATCTTATAGTGGATGTTCTGCTGAATGCTGCGTCGGAAGAATCCCTGCAGACAAAAGAGGAACAAAGGCTTTGAAGAGGATCCTTTGTAGCTGTGTGTGTGTGTGTGTGTGTGTGTGCGTGCGTGCGTGCGTGCGTGCGTGCGTGTGTACACTTGCAGTAAAAAGAAAACCACACATGACGTTGTGATGATCCTGTCTCACCTTGCAGCCCTCACAGGCGTGGACGCCGTAATGGAAACCAGATGCGATGTCCCCACACACCTTACATAAAAGCACCATACCTCCAGTCTCTGTGAACGAGGCACATTGACGTGGTCACACACTGACACATCAGCCGTAAACAGGGAGGACAGGCTGTGAGGACTTACTGGTGAAGGTTCCAGTGAAACCACAAGGCCTTTTGGCCACGGTTGGATGGCTGTAGGCTGCCGTGGTGATTTGGGCGACTGGAGCACTGCTCACTTCAGGAAACTGAAAAACCATTTTTGGTGAGACATTTCCTCCCCTGTGTTCTCCTCTCCGTTTCAGAGCCCCGATCTCCTGAAAGGAGACCCCCTCTGGGGACGAGGGCTGCGAGTGAGAGGATGGCGACTGGGTCTGGTATCCACTTGAAGGGCTGCCAGGACTCGGACTGGCACTGCCAGATGAGCCAGCGTACAGGATGACACCACCTGGGGGAACAGGGAGGCACAGAAACTCAGATTCCTGGTTTCCATGTGGGTCACATGCAGAATGTAGGTGAGAGTGTGAGGATTGAGAAATGCTCTACTTTGACGCAGTGAGCTTATTTGGCGGACTTTCAGGAAGACAAACTAAACGTGACCGTGTTGGGACGGCAACAATTTGAGCTGATGAATAATTTAGTGAAGAAAAAGAAAATGGTCACAGCTAGACTATCAGGAACCCTGACCTGAATATTTCTGATGGTGTCAAACTTGTTTACCAAAGAATCCCTCAGAGGGAAAATGCCACCGCTGGAGGATGGATCCACAAGAATTTGTGTTGTCTGGATAATTAAAATTCAGCTTTTTTAACTGAATCAGCTCACCCTCTGACACAAAGTCACTGAACATTCCCAGTCAGAGCCACAGATGCACCACAAGCCTTTGTTTAAGGATGTCACATCAAATCGGAAATGCCCTGTTACCCATAAACACGCCCCTCCCTCCCCCTTTTGTTTAGCCTTGCTCTTCCCCTGCAACATGAAAGACGGCCGCTCACGTGCAGCCAGCTCCCTGCCAGCCAGCTAGCTTTCAGGAACAAATCTTTTCTGCACTCTCTTTCTTCTGCCCCTCCCCTCCCCTCCCATCCTCTTTCTCTTTCGCTCTCCATCCTCCCCCTACCTCCCTCCCTCCCTCCCTCTAGCTCCGGGCACGCCATCTCTCCGCCAGCCACCTGACCAGGAGCTCACATGTACTCTTGACACAGTTCCCGCCCAGCTCACAAGGCTCTTTGCGCAGTCTCGTGCAGACAGCAGCAGCAGCAGTGCCATAATGAGCGCTGGGGCAGATCATGTTTGTAACGGAGAAGGCTGTGACGCCGCAGAGAGAGGAAAACAAGCAGGGAGGCAGACAACCATCCCTCAGAGCAGATAGTCACAATAACATCTCAAGGGATTTGGGGTTTATTTAGATGTACAAACAGAACAAATCTGAATTTACATGTGCACAAGACATCCCAGGCAATCTGTGTCGTGCAGGTCCAGCACCTAAACAACCTGTCATGCAGGTTTTAAACATAACATGTTGCAGGTTGCAGCTGCTGAACAGGTTTCGGAGGTCAGGAAGCTACACAATAAATCCTGTGCACATTTCCCTCTAAGGTCTTTGAATAATCTAGAAAAGGGTTATCTGGTGCTTGCTCTCCTTGAGGAAACACGTGCCACATTTCTGTTTGGCTCCACGCGCCTCCTTAAATCCCACGTGTCTGCTGACTGTAAAGTTCTCTGGGTTGATGACCTTAAGTGTGGTAGTGTGCAGCTCTAAGTATTAGCCTGTGCACGTCCTTGTTCCAGTGAGATTTGAACCTGCACCTGCAGCCAGAAGGTCACGCCCTGCTGTCACACCGAGACGCCACACCCCACCTTCTACATCCTGCTTGCAATTTGGACTCAAAGCTGAATTCTGGCACCTTGTCGCTGCTGTTTGCAGGCACAGGTAACATGTGACCTGTGCGTACACACGAGGTCAAAAGAATTACAGTACAAACAAAACGTTCCACCACTCCTCCTTTTTCCAGTTCCCACCTCCAGACCTTGACCGTTCTCGTGTCGTGTCTGAGGAGGCGGATAAGCCTCGCCCCACGTGGAACAGCTGGACACATATCCTATTTTTATTCATGAAGAATAATGAAGTGTGAATAATGGTCAGGATGTGTGTGTTCTCATACAGACGACACAATCCAGCACCCACCTGACTTTTGCTGACTTTAACAGGAACTTGTCATATCATTTCCACCTTAAGAGGATATCGTTACAGTGTTTGGGACCACATCAGTCAGCTGCCGTGCTGTTAGGTCACAAAGCCACACCAGCTAATGTCAGTGCTGGTCATTGGCCCTTATTTTTAATTCAATTCAAGCCTCTACAGTCACGTTTTACAGCCTGTTTGTTTGCAGAGGCTGAACTCAGCTGAACTCAGCTGAGTCACTCAACCAGCACGCCCACATTCTTCAAACTTACTGGGTTTAATCTTCAACCAGCAGAGCACAGGAAACTACTGATGACGATTCACTGGTGACTTTATTATGATGAACTTTGATGTTTTTATCTAACATTTGACTGCTACAGGTCCGTGTGTACGCACACACACACATAAAAATATTAAAGCTCTGACTTATTTTTGAATTTTGTCTCGATTAAAACTCTCCTAGGCAAAACTAAACTATAAAATATAATATTATAACGTTAAGAAAAGATGAAAGTTCAGTCATGCTAAATACTGATAGGAGCTTAATCATATTTAAAATCTATACCTTTAGAGGTTTTCCTCTAAGACCACATCAGTCAGCTACTATTTTAAGAATGCACTGGCCTTTTACAGCAAGTTCCTCTTCAATAAAGGTGGAAATTTAATGAGTAATGCACCGATTATGATCCTGAGGGCCGATACCGATTTTTGATCCTAGTACAGCTGTGACCTGCTCATACCAATTCCATCTGATTTATCTGGAATAATGAGAAATTTCAGAAAACATTAAAGTAAATTTGATAAACTTGAACATTTAGAATCTGAAAATAAGAATTTTACATAAAAGACCTTCTACGGGTAATGTAAATCAGTAGCTACAGATGGTGAGTTCAGGGACAGGGAAAAAAATTTCTTTTTTTTTTTTGGCAATAATGCATTCTTGAACCCCTGCCCCAATCAACAATAATGTTTGGAGTCTGACACTGAATCCCTCATTATGCTGGTATTAACCGATTCCGGTTATTGGTGCACGTCTATGTTTAAAGGGAGACTAGGCAGTTTTGGCTTGCTTTTAGCACCCCCTAGTGTCTGTTTGGTAGAACAAAAAGCAAAACTGTGCGTTCATCTTATTAACACTTTAACTGCTGAAATGTCTCCCCAGTCTTCACTGGTGTCTACAGGGGTGATTCATCACTAAATTAAACAAATTAGCTGTGTTCATGATCTAAAACAAGCAGGAAGCAGTCAGGAAATATGTCAGCTCCTTGTTGCAAGAGGAATATTCTGGCTACAGGGGGCAACAAAGGCCGGTTGGCCCCTGTCTAAAGTAATTTTAGCACACACTGGCTCAAGAAAACTATTTTAAAATATGAAAATGTTGCAAAGTATTGCTTTAAAGACCTCTTATTGGAGAAAATCAAAAACAATTTTGGGTTTTGATGAACCACTTGCACAACAGCCACTACATTAGACTTTAGTGGGACGATAATATATTGTTCATATGTCTAATACAAATTTCAATTGAAAACCTTTGTTAACCACCTACCTGAACCCTGACTGAGGTTGCCAGACTCCAGGCATGAATGGAGTAGAGATGCATCTATTAATAATGAAGTGCTTCTCATTCTCATAAAAAACATTTATTTTCATAGAAAATAAGACCTTCATATTCTAAAAATAAAAAAGTCACGTAGCAATGACGCACTGCAGCTGATTTATGATCAAGTACGCTTCTTCTAACTGCTTCCTTCTGAAGTTCATGGTGACACTAACGTTACTGAAATAGAAACCCTGGTGGCCCGAATAGTCCTGAATCTGGGTTATGATGTCCTCCCATCGCCTTTCAGAGACACTGGCTGATGTAAAGTGAAACCTTCTTATTCTGTGGCGAACCGGAGCTGGAGAGGAAAGGGGCTGCGGTCCCCCCTCTGACCCACTGACCAATCTATCAACAAACACAGAGGAATTCCCTGTGCGAGCTGAGCAGGAGCAGCATGCGCGCGACCCACCGCACAAAGAGGGAGGAGGGTGTACTTGGGATCATGAGCGGCACGTGTAAACCGAGGCAGGGTACACGTGCTCTCTGCTCCAGGCGGGGTGGCTGCATACTAAAAATCAGGCACATGATTTTTCTGGCCTTTTTTAACCAATACAGCTGCTGTTCAAGGACTTTGTCACATCTGTTGATATCTGAGAAAATGTGTCCACACTCACATCTATCTATCTATCTATCTATCTATCTATCTATCCATCCATCTATCTCAACATACAAAGAAAGAACATCCAAAAACTTTTGCCATTCACTCTCTGTCGTTATCAATTTCAGCACAGAATCAAGGTCCTTCACTCATATTTTTAATACATTTGTAGTGGTCTGTCATAGGAATGAATGAATGCCTTTTAATTCGTACATTTGGGGGGAAAAAAGCTCTGGTGTGCCTGTTCAGCATGGAGAATTCAGCCAGATGAGAAAGTAGCTTTGACAGGATTTGGAGTTCCAGATATTTGGGCATCCCACCTCTGATTGGCTAACAGTAACACGACTCCATGGCGGACTCCATTGGCTATGCAACGTTGATGTTTTATCTTCACAAATAACACATGCCTGGAGGAGTTTTTCTGTGTGGTGGAGCCACTAATGCTAATGGTTAGCTTCTACCAGTTGAGATGTTCTCTGCTGTTTCCTGGATGCTAAACCAACAACAGTCATGAGTTCATGAACGTTCAGTGACAGTGTGATGTAGATCTGTTGGGATTTTCAAATCCTAGAGTTTCACCATCTATTTTCTATCAGAATCTGATGCAGGAGATAGGTGTAGTAGACTATTTTCACGTTCAGCCTGCACGCATAACTCAGATTGACTGTACATTTTATAAAGTATGAAGTGAAAACAGTTGTAAAAATATTAAGTAAAAATAGCGAAAGACATCTTTGATGGCAATACAGCAACATCAGATAAACATTTTAAATAAACAAATATTCCACAAATAGTTCAGATTGTTTTAAGATGCAAAGTAGATCACAGTTAGTAAAACTTATGAGTTTTTATTCAATTCAATTCAATTTTATTTATATAGCGCCAAATCATGACAAGAGTCGTCTCAAGGCACTTCACATAGTAAACATTCCAATTCAGGTCAGTTCATTAAGCCAATCAGAAAAAATGTTTCCTATAGAAGGAACCCAGCAGATTGCATCAAGTGAGTGTCAGTGACTTGATGCAAGCCTCATACTAAGCAAGCATATAGCGACAGAGGAGAGGAAAACTCCCTTTTAACAGGAAGAAACCTCCAGAGGATCCTGGCTCAGTATAAGCAGCCATTCAGAGCGCGCGCACGCACGCACGCACACACACACACACACACACACACACACACACACACACACATTATTTATCAGTTGTGTACTTTTTTTCCTGTGCCCAATCACATTACTGACTGAAATTATTGTTTCAAAACAAAGAAAAAGAGAATTCAGAACAAAGTGAAATAGGCTCCATAGACTTTTAAAAATTTTAAATGTCCACCTTTTAAATTCTTTAATTCCCAATAAATACTCGGCCATTTCACCAGCATATCAATACATCACAATGTGTGATCATCTCATTTGTCACCTGCTGCTGCGTTTAGCTCATGATTCAGCTGGCAGAGCTGCATGTTGACTCAGTGCTCTGCTGCTTAAGTCATGTATGGATGGAAAAACATTTGTGTTGCACCAGAAACAGTCTTGACCCAATGTCCCTGACTGTTCCCACACAAATAGTTCTGCCTGTGCACGTGCTCACTGGTGGAAGAACAAGCTGATTCAAACAAAAACACACAAGTGAAAGTAACAAGTCAAAAGCAGAAGAAGATTATAATGATGATGCGCAAATAAGTAACCTCCATAAATCCAAACACACCATTGCATTTATCCTTTTTTGGATCACTGGAAGAAAAACCAAATGATGTTATAAGTGGGATAGTGTGGAAAGAGGACAGTCGTGGACAGTGGGGGCGTTTTGGGTCGCGCTTCACGTGAGTGTGTTTACGTGGGGAGAATCGGAAGTCAAAGAAATTGGCAAGAGGACTTCCCTCTGTGTGTGGCTCAGTCATTCAAACCGCTCTGCTGTCTGTCTGCAGCCCGGAAGCGCTTGGCACCGAGCCCTGTATGTGCTGAACTGCAGTCAGAGGCAATGAAATTTCACACTTTAACGTGTAGAGCTAAGAGAAAGTTTTGGTAAAAGGGATCGCTGTGTTACCTCAGTTATAATAATTAAAAAAAAAGAAAATATGAACTACTAATTCACATTTATCCAAATATAAATGGGTGTGAGGCACATTCAGATATTTTTCCATTTATCTTAAAAATATCATTTACTCACCGGGACTATTTTCCATGTTCCCGAGTCGTTCTGTTCTTCCCAGCTGTAAAAAATGCAGTATTTTTGGTTTAAAGCTGGACTGGATGCTGCTGGAGTTACGTCAAAACACGCGAACAACTCATAAACTGTAAGAGTCTTCCCCAAAGCTCAGACCAGGGCATTAGGATAAAAAACGATCGAAAAAATAAATTCTGAAAATATTTCTTTTAAATAATAATAATTTAAAAAAGATTAAATCGGAGTAATTTCCCAGAGATGAGCAGAAGCAGTGAGCGGCTCGGCTCTCCCGTCTGAAGGCTGCACCTTTCTGATGCCACAGGCTGTGATCCACTGTGCGTGTGTGTGCGTGAGGGTTCTCTACAATACAGAAGTCCCAGCGCTTTCAGCTGCTTGCCATGCTAAAGCATCATCCGCGTGGAAGAAGTTTAAACACTCCCCCACAGCCGTCAATAAGCAGCACGCGTCCTAAAATAAGCAGCACGTTTTCAGGTGCCTGAGAAATGTGACCGTTTGTTCCCCCCCCCCCCCCCCCCCTCCTCTGATCTCTTTCTGTGTCCGTGTTTGTTGATGTGTATCAGAAACGCTCTCTCTCTCCCCCTTCCCCGTCACGCTCTCTGAAAACATCTCACCCCCTCCTCCCCTCACGCCCAATTCTTTTTTCACTCGTTCTCACTTTGTCATTGGCCGAGAGCCCCGCGTGGAGACGACACAATGGGCTCGTTCGACATTGGAATGCTGGTTAAAGCTCGGCAGCATGTGCGCATGGCATGTGAGCTCGCGCTGCCCTACTGACACACATTTTATGCTAATGAGCTGCCTGGGCTCGGCGATAAGTGGGGAGAATAGAGGAAGAGATGGGAAAACATAGCAAGATGTCTCACTCCTGTTTTTTTAAAAGGGATACTTTGCAACTTTTTCATGTTTAAATTTTTTTTTTGAGCCAGTGTGCTGAAATTACCCTTTCCATTTCACCGTCGGTCTGTTGGGACCATCGACATATATACTGGACAATTCATTTCCATAGACTCCAATAACACGTTTTTGAGGCCAAATGGGAGGTGGCCACCACCGCCATTTTGACCGTGTCACAGGTTCCGTCAAGCCCAGACAATTCCACAAAAGGGAAGAGAGGTGGAGCTGAGGGTGGGGCTGTATGGCTGGGATCAACTGAGACACTCGGTCGAACTAGCTACAAGCTAGCCCAAGCTAACACGGAGGTGGGAGCTAAGCTAACGGAGGTAGCAACCTAGCTACAGCCAGAGTTAACTGTGCACAACACCAGAGCTTCTGAGTCAGAGATACGCTGGGCTGACCGCTGGGTAAAACCGGGTGGAACACAGAGGTCTCCTGAGAGCTCAACAAGCCGGCAGCCGCACAGCAGGCAGAAGCCGCGATCAGACAGAGATGCGCCGAGCTGCGGGGAGGGGAGAAACGGGTGAAAAACATCGGTCTCCCGAGAGCCCCACAAGCCGATAGTTGGAACCCAGCTCCACCAACATGTTATATTTCAACCCATTTTCTAAAGTGCAGCATTATGTTAAATGCACTGGGTTTTACCCTATTACATTTAAATTTCATGGTTAAACAGTACATGTTAAAATCTAAGCTCAGCTCGGCAGTGACCTAAAATATATAAATATAATTTTACTTACCGAAAAAAATGAAGTGGAGACTCCTTGGACGCTATATTAGTGCAATTAATGCCACAGCAAGTCATTTTGTCCAACAATTGCACAAAAAATATCCAAAAAAGTATACACAAACACAGAGACTCAAAATAACCTGTCATGCAGGTTTTAAACAGTTTCCAAGCCAGACCGAGGCTCTACTGAGGCCTTTCCACGGAGCTAGCTCTGTGGTCACGTGGGTCTGATGCTCATTAATTATACAGAATTTCAGGTTTTTAATACACTTAAACAGAAGAGTGAGAAAAAAATTCACCCCCCTCAGAGTTGTCATGAGTGTAAACTAGATCATTTAAACCAAAAACATGTTCTGGTACCAGGCTGTAAACATGTTTATTTCTGCTGTGAAATTGGTATTTTTAACTTGTGAGTCAATGAGGATTTGCTCGCTTCTGACACCAGCCCCCAGTGGATGAGGGTGGAACTGCAATTTTTGGTATTTCCGGGTTGGCCTCAATTTTTGAGCCGCATTTTGGGGGCTTGGTTGGGACTTAATAATATAATAAATTGAGCTTACATACCTGGCGCCGCCAAAGCAGTTCCCTGCCAGGACAACAGAGGGTGCAGTGCTTTCGTTGCAAGCTTGCGTTCTCCGTCTCGTTGGACTGATGTTTAGAAAAGAGAGCTTGACTCCGTCCGTCCTTGTAAGGGCTCTCCAGCAGGCTCGCAATGATGGATAATGACGTTGCGTGTGTCCATCCCGACGCCGACGGAGAAGTATAAATTAGGCTTAGGGAAGGCCTGGAGATGTTTCAGCTGTTAGATCAACGTGTTAAAAAACGAACGCACAGCAAGGAAATAGGTTTGGTTTTAGTTCTACAAACGGACACTAGGGGGTGCTAAAAGCAAGCCCAAACTGCCTAGTCTCCCTTTAATGGGGCAGTAGCCTAAGCAGGGAGGCCCAGACCTCTACCCGGCCACTTGTGCCATATTTGGTCTAAACAAACATGTTATTTGCACAAAGCTATTTTAGCAGCTTTATTGTTGATGTTATCAGTTGTTTCCTGAGCAAGACATTTCAGAGCTCTGTCATTTTAAAGTAAACAAGTTATTGCTGGCCATACCCATAAGTCTCCTGATTGGCTGCTATGAGGTGAGGAGCTTAAGTCTCCTCCCCTTCCGTACGACTCATGGTTCCCCAGAACAACAAAAAATTAATGCAAGTGAATAGCTGTAAAAATTATTTTATAATTCGGTTTGCCTTACACCCTGGAGTCCATATAGGGAGCCTTAAGTCCTACTTTTGGACCGTGGGTCCCAGGAAGAACATAGAAATGAATGCAAGTCAATGGAGCTAAAAACGATATTATCTAATCCTGATTGTTATGTGCCATGGATTTCACATATGATGTGAAATTTAAAGATGCGTTTTGATTCCAAGAAAGAGCTTATTTTTGAACAGGGGAAAAAGTTTAGATTTTGTGTGAAAATAAGTCCAGGACAAAATGGTAAATGGCCTGTATTTGATATAGCGCCTTCTAGAGTCCTGGAACCTCCCAAGGTGCTTTACAACACAATCAGTCATTCACCCATTCTCACACACATTCACACACTGTGGAGATGAGCTACATTGTAGCCACAGCTGCCCTAGGGCACACTGGCAGAGGTGAGTCTGCTGTACACAGGCACCACCAGTCCCTCCGAACACCACCAGCAGGCTAGTGGGTTAGATGTCTTGTCCATCACCAAAACACAAAATCACGTAATCAAACCAGACACGAAAAATAGCTGAAGAAAAATGGCTGTAAGTTCAGCAAACGTCAAATCCTTCCCTCAGGAGGAAAGAACCACCATAAACCTGGTCATTTGGTAAGTAGCAGCTACGCTAGGGGAGAAGAGATTCTGTGGTGATGTATCAACGTCTGACTTGTTGTCATGCTAATTACAAACGTTTACAATCTGATAAATGTCAAAGCATGAGTCAGGTGTGGTCAAAACATACATCATACTTTTCATTTAAACCGAAGTACAACAAATGCTATTTAAGGTGTAAGGCAAAGTAGACCAGAAAATATCTCTTTTAGCCCCGTTGACTTACATTCCTTTTTCTCATTCTTCTGGAGGCCCATGAGCCAACCGTGGACCCATGAACCAACCAGAAAGGGAGGAGACTTAGACTTCCTATATGACTTCAATTTAAACGAAATTAAATTTGCGAGTTTCGACTATGTCTGTCACACATTTGAGATTTGTTAGCTTGTAAAAATTCATAAATAATGTGACTACAATCAGACGTTGCATGAATGATGTCATCGCATACACATAGTTCAAATTTTAAGAACAAAAGATAGTAAATCCAACTTTTTATTTTACTGTAAATTCTGTGTTTTCTGCTGATGTGTCTTTCAAATAGTTGAATTAATATAACTCACTTACATAACACTCTGCATTCCAAAATGCTAATAAATTAAAGCGTTTTTGTTAGAACATGTGGACATTTCCATATTGTGAGAACATTCTGCTGGCACCCTTTTGTGTCGCCAGAAAATAGCATTTCAAAACAAATGGCTCTTTTGTGGCAATGGTAATATTTAATCATTGCCCTGAAAAAATTTAAACGATACCGTTCCTTTAAAACATATGATAGTGTAAAACAAACACACAGTTATCCTGAATTTGTACTCGATTTGTGAACATCTTGGTCACTGGCCTAAAAATACACTGAAGTAACCCGGAAGCTGTGGAGTGAAACCTCTTTATTCATTTAGACGATCTTTGCTGGAGAAAGGGGACACGTGCGGAAAGGGCGGATCTCACTCGTGACTCCAAGCTCCCCTCCCCCTCCCAGTCACGTTTCCTTTCTCCCAGCAGATTGTGATAGCTGAGAGACGCTACAGCAGGAGACGTCCGGGGACACTGCTAATGTAGGTCAGGAGCTTCTTGTGCAAACACGAGCCTTGTAAAATAGCCTAAATATGCTAAAACCTCCGCGTCCCAACAGAAGGAACCAGAACTGGTGACGCCGGGCTCACAAAACAGTTACATTTAGGTCACGTAGCTCCGCAGGTGTCCGGGGGATGTTTTTATTCAAAAACCTTCCTTTTCTTGGTAGGTGAGCTGAATTAATAAAACTCACCACAGGTTCTAACTGGTGGGGAATTAGGCTATTGGGTCATGAAGTGTTTGATGTAATCATCGGTTTCTGTCGCAAAAATGTAATGCTAGAACATGATCTGACTTTTTAAACGAGACTATTTTTAACTATTATTTACAACAATAAAATATTCAAACTGCGTCACTTGGCTAAGTCAAATTACAAAATTGAATTTATTTACTTACTTTTCT